TGCGGGATGAGTGTGCCTGTGTGAGTCGACCACACACCAGCATGCGGGATGAGTGTGCCTGTGTGAGTCAAACAGACACCAGCATGCGGGATGAGTGTGGCTGTGTGAGTCGACCACACACCAGCATGCGGGATGAGTGTGCCTGTGTGAGTCGACCACACACCAGCATGCGGGATGAGTGTGGCTGTGTGAGTCAGACACCAGCATGCGGGATGAGTGTGCCTGTGTGAGTCAAACAGACACCAGCATGCGGGATGTGTGCCTGTGTGAGTCGACCAGACACCAGCATGCGGGATGAGTGTGCCTGTGTGAGTCGACCACACACCAGCATGCGGGATGAGTGTGCCTGTGTGAGTCAAACAGACACCAGCATGCGGGATGAGTGTGCCTGTGTGAGTCGACCACACACCAGCATGCGGGATGAGTGTGCCTGTGAGTCAAACAGACACCAGCATGCGGGATGAGTGTGCCTGTGTGAGTAGACCACACACCAGCATGCGGGATGAGTGTGCCTGTGAGTAGACCACACACCAGCTTGCGGGATGAGTGTGCCTGTGTGAGTCGACCAGACACCAGCATGCGGGATGAGTGTGCCTGTGTGAGTCAACCATACACCAGCATGCGGGATGAGTGTGCCTGTGTGAGTCGACCACACACCAGCATGCGGGATGAGTGTGGCTGTGTGAGTCGACCACACACCAGCATGCGGGATGAGTGTGCCTGCGTGGAGTCAACCTGCTTGCACAGCCGGCTCTGACTCCTGTGGACATCAGCCTTGAAAATGAGACCTGTCCAGGCGTCCACAGTGCCAGCCAGGGGGCGGGACATGTGTGTGTAGTCTGGATGGAGCGTGAGTGGCACTGGCGGCAGGACAGCGGGGGTCAGGGAGGGCAGGGCTCCTGAGGTCTGCTGTGTTGGTCCCAGGACATGTCCAGCCTGATGCACACTATCTACGAGGTTGTGGACGCCTCCATCAACCACTGCTCAGGCAGCAGCAAGACTCTCCGAGTGAAGCTGACGGTCAGCCCTGAACCCTCTAGCAAGAGGAAGGAGTGTCCTCCCAGTGGTCAAGGTGAGGGGGCCTGCGCCAAGGAGCACCCTGCTCAGTGCGTTCCCATGCACGGTAGGCCTGGGTTTCCCAAGCACCGTGTTCCAAAGACTGGGGCTGCAGCTGCCCCCGGCCCTGATTCATGGACCATACCCACCTGCGCTTCGCAGAGCTCACCTCTGAGCTCACTTCACCATGCCAGGGCCAGCACCTTCATCCCTTATCCCCTGCCTCCTACACCATCCCCGGGTCTTGTTTCCACAATTCCTCAAGCAACACACGACACCTGGAAGGGCACAGAAACATGCAAGCGGGGCCCTGGATGGATGGATGGGTGGGTGAGTGGATGGATGGGTGGGTGGGTGAGTGGATGGTTGGATGATGGATGGGTGGTTGGGTGGATGGTTAGATGATGGATGGATGGGTGGTTGGGTGGATGGTTGGGTGGATAAATGGGTGGGTGGATAGATGGGTATATAGTTGGATGGATGGTGGATGGGTGAGTGGGTGGTTGGATGATGGATGGATGGGTGGTTGGATGGATGGGTGGTTGGGTGGATGGTTAAATGATGGATGGGGGGTGGGTGGATGGTGGATGGATCGGTGGGTGGATAGATGGGTGGGTAGATGGATGGGCATATAGTTGGATGGATGGTGGATGGATGAATGGATGGATGGTTGGGTGGATGGTGGATGGGTGGGTGGGTGGTTGGATGATGGATGGATGGGTGGTTGGGTGGATGGTCGGGTGGATGGATGGGCATATAGTTGGATGGATGGATGGTTGGGTGGATGGGTGGGTGGTTGGTTAGATGATGGATGGATGGGTGGTTGGGTGGATGGTGGATGGTTGGGTGGATGGATGGGTGGGTGGATAGATGGGTGGGTGGATGGATGGGCATATAGTTGGATGGATGGTGGATGGATGGATGCATTAGTTATGAATGTGGTGGCCATGCTATCATACCAGGGGCAAACATCTGAGAAATGGGTGTGGTGTATTTAGGTCAGCCTTAGCAAGAGAGTAAAGTCATGTCTTACACGTACATATCCTCCTACACCACATATAAATACTTGCACACAAGGGGATGGAAAGGGGAAACAAAGGAGGAAGCAACAATGCTTGATAAGAAATGCATTCATTACCTTGCCCATATAATTGTAACCCCTCTGTATGGTATTTTCACAATAAAAAAAATACTTGCACACATGCCATGCATATACTTGTGCATGTGTGCACATGCACATGCATGCACGCACGTGCGCACGCGTACACACACACACACACACACACACACATAAAGCGGGTGCTGGTAGCTCATGTCTGTAATCCTAGTTACTCTGAATAGCTAGGCCAGCCCAGGCAGAAAAGTCCACCAGGATCTATCTCCAAAATAACCTTTGGAAGGCCCAGATGGAGGCATGGCTCACATAGCAGAGCACCAGCTGAGCAAGCCAGCCAGGCATGAGATCCTGAGTTCAAACTCCAGTGCTGGAAAAATGAATTTGTGGATGAGTAAATTATGAAGACATGAGGAATGAATGGAAACGCGAGTGGGGAGGTCAATGGTGTCTAGAGGAGGGTGGAAGGGCAACAGAACAGAGGCAGGAGAGCGACTGGATGAGGACCCATGAGAGCGCTCAGGGAGCGGACGCATGAGGGGGCAGGGGCGGAGGCAGTGGGTGGGCGAATGCAGGGCTGGGAGGTGGGTGGGCCTCGTGTTCACGGGTACCACCTTTTCAGACCAGGAGCCCCCGCGCAGCAGGACTGAGAGTACCGTCGCAGATGACCCGAGGGTGGCCGACAGGAGGCTGTCCTACCACTGCAGGTAGGGCGGTGCCGGGCGGCCGGCCAGGCAGGCGCTGCAGGCTGCCGGGAGGCCTGGGCAGCGCTGAGCGCCAGGCCTGTCAGGACAGGGAGGCTTTGGTTGGCTGGAGCCACCACCTGAGTGTGCTCCTCCTGCTGGGTGGCTTCGCTCCCCGGCCCTGGAGGGGGCCGCGGGGCTGCAGGCTGGTCACCGTTGGCCACGGGCCTTGCTGTGGCTGACACACAGCCGCATGCTCCTCTCCGGCTCTCCCGGGCAGGGAGTGCCATCCAAGCCTCTGGCCGCCATCCACTCGAGGCTGCTCCTGGTCAGGCCCCACCTCTGTCCCACGCAGGCGGCCCAACGCAGACTCGCAGCCCTGCTCCATGCGGGGACCCTACTGCGTGGACGAGAACACAGAGCGGAGGAACCACTACCTGGACCTTGCCGGAATTGAGAACTACACATCCAGGTTTGGTCCCGGTGGGTATCCGTCTTCACTCACCACTGCCCTGGCGCTGCGGCTGGTGCGCCGCAGCAGGGCCCGGGCACCGTCCTCCCCTCCCGAGTCTCCCTCCGTCCCCCGAGTGGGCCCAAGCCTCACCTCCTGTCCACTGAGGCCTCGAGGTGTGGCCCCGCTAGGGTCCACTCGGGAAGCCCGGCCAGGGCACTGACAGGCTGGGGGGGGGGTGCCCACCTGGCCTCCGAGGCCCCTCAGCCCAGGGCCTAGGAGCAGAGCCCGCCTCTGATGAGGACAGGAATACCATGCCAGAAGGGGGGGTGGCGGCCCCAGATCCCGGTCCCCCACTGGGAGGCTGTCACAGGGCAGGACCCCAGAGCAGCAGCAGAGAAGGGCTACCCCAGGAACCCCACGGGACAGGCCCAAGGCGGCTGTGCCCTCTTCTGGGGCGGTAGCCAGAGTCTCCAGACAGAGCCGCCCCCCAGTCCAGGGCAGGTCCAGGGCTAGGCTGGGCACTCCCTGGAGTGCACTGGGGTGTGGACATCTGATCACGCCTGTGGCCGCCAGGCCACCTCGGACGAGGACACGCTGGGGCCTTGGTGCACCCACCTTTAGGAAAGGGCCCGGAAGGCTTGACTCCAGCCCCGTGTGCCACCACAGGGTCACCTCCAGAGCGAGCCCGACAGGAGCACCACGGCAGGGCCACGCACCCCCAGGGCAGGTGCCGCCCCCAGGAGCCGGGCGCGCACGGCGGGCCACAGCGCAGGTCACAGGTGCTGGCTGACCACACGGTGCCCGCTGCTGAGCCTGCCCTCCGGGGCCCGAAGGGGCTGGAAAAGCAGTTCCCCAGGTCCCCCAAGGGTGGCGGGAAGCCCCCCGGGGGGCCAAGCAGCAGCAAGGCTGGGAGAGCCCCCAGCCACTGCCTGGCAGCCGCCACCCCACCCCAAACTGCGCAGGACGGCCCCCACCTCCCCCCACCCCCGCTCCCGCCACACGGCCAGAAGCGGTACCGGCAAAAGGCCAGGGAAGGCCACTCTCCACTCAAGACTGCGCACGGCCAGCCCACCCTGGCGGAGCACGAGGTGGTGCGGGACCTGCCGCCCGTACTGGGCGTACTGGGCGCCGAGGGCTGCGTGATGCCCGTGACCCAGCAGCACGAGCACCACCACCACCACGAGCATCACCACCACCACCACCACCACCACTTCCACCCGTCCTAGCAGAGTGCTGGGGTCCCGGCCGAGGACTGTGGGCCCGGGGGAGGGGCCCAGAGCAGGGACTCGGCACCAGGAGACAGGCCGGGCCGCTCCTCACCACGCCGACACCAGCACGCCGGCCGCCCCGTGGACATCTCAAGCTATTCTGTGTAACTACTCAAAGCAGCGGGAACTCAGAGCACATTTTAACTGCTTTCCCCGGTGATTCCAGACTCTGTGGGGGCTCTCCCCAGATGCGGCTGGCATCAGCACAGCACTGACCTCTGGGAGCCCCGGGCTGGGCCGGACAAAGAAAAAGCAAAGCTCTGTGGAGGCTGTTCCCATAGTAACCAACACGACCTTGCGTTTCTCCTCCTAGAAAGGGGAAAGGGTGGACCGGGGGCCGCGTGTCCTTGGCCTGCCAAGGCCCCGGCGCACAAGGGTGGCCCAAGACTCAGCAGCAAGTGCAAGCACAGCGCAGCAGCCCTCATCACGGTGCCGGTCACGCAAGCCGGGCAGACTCGGTCTGAACACCACAGACACCCGAGCTGTCCCGTGTGGCCCTGTGCAGGGGTGCGGGAGGCAGCGGCGCAGAGCAGGAGGCCCGGCTGGCTGGCAGGGGCCAGGGGTGGCCCCAGAGCAGGGCCCCCTAGGAGGTGAAGGTTCACATAGTTCGTGTCTCTATGCTGGCCTCTTGAGTCATTCCTAAGGACAAATGGGTGGCCGACTGGAGGCTGAGACATGCTTCTTGTGTAGTAAGAACAGGTGCATTTTATCATATGCTGCACCCTGCATTAACCCACTTTCCAAAGAGCCACAGTGAATTCACTTACACAAGTGGCGACAGGTGTGGCCAGCGGGCGGCCATCACCGAGAAAGCGCGTCTGCCTGTACTACCACCTACAGAGAACGCCAATGCGCACACACAAGCACACACCTTGACTGCACGAAAACTAAAGAGGCGAAACCTCAGGAATAGCGCGCGTGGCCGTGGGCTCTGGGCCCTCCATCCGGGCCGTGGGCTCTGGGCCCTGCATCGTGTGGCCGTGGGCTCTGGGCCCTGCATCGTGTGGCCGTGGGCTCTGGGCCCTGCACCACGTGGCCGTGGGCTCTGGGCCCTGCATCGTGTGGCCGTGGGCTCTGGGCCCTGCACCGCGTGGCCATGGGCTCTGGGCCCTCCATCCGGGCCGCGCCAGGATCATCCAGGGCAGCCCGCCTCACCTGTCCTCACCAGCAAGGCCACATGGCCATGGCTGCCGGGGCTGGCCCGTCAGCCTGCAGGAGGTCAGGAAGGGGATGCGACGTGCATTTTCTCTAGTTGTTTTTAACTTCACAGTAGAAGAGGTGAGTCCGAGTCCTCAGACACTGCAATTTCAGAACTTTATTCTACTAACAAAATCATACAAAGAACCTAAAAATTAAAAAACAAAAACAAAACCCACCATGGATTCACTTCTGCATGGCTCTAGTTACCGGGGTCACGGAGTCTGTCCGGGAGGAGGCCAGGCAGACCTCTACAGTGGGTGAAGACTCGGGACCTGAGCAGCGCTCTGCCGCCTGGGGTCTGTTTCCGGCGCTGGCCAAGGTGCCCTTCCCGTCCCCCCTCCCCCCAGGATGGGGCGCTCAGGACCTGTGGTGGGGGGCAGGGATCTGCTTTAATTCAGACCTAAGTGGGAGGGAGCCAGGAGTCCCAGGACTGGCTAGGCCACAGTGGCATGCTGAGCCTCTCGGAGCCCAGGTCACCCCTAGGGGCCTCTGCCCCGCCCCGAGCTCCACAGGCAACACTGACTCTTGGAAAACCAGATACCCAAGAGCCTGGACATAGGCAGCCCTTCATGGACCACATACCCCCACCAGGGTGCCTTAAATAAATAAATATGCCACAGAGAAGGAGAGGCACGGTTACTCCCACGACCCACAGCTCCAGAACAGAACACGACCTACAAAGCAAGGCTGCAGGGTAAAGTGCAAATCTTGTGTCAGGTCCTTGAACACAGAGAGCTCGGCCTCCCTGCCGTGCCAGGCTTGAGCTGGGCATGGGCGCAGGGCCTCAGGGCGGCCGACCCGAGCTCCGGCCTCTGGCCTGGAGGGTGCCCGGGCTGAGCTGTCTCCCTGAAGCCTGGGGTGGAGAGCCGTGCCACCCCGTGTGGGCAGGCCCGGTGTGAGTGCTGCTCTCAGGGCTGCTGCGTCTGCGGTGGGGGCTGTGGGGGCATCACAACACTTTCTGCCTGTGTCTCCCAGTGCACTCTGGCTGTGACCCACCAGTGCTTTAGAAATGAAGTGGCTGCGTTCCCACAAAAAGGAACACCGCTGGCGTCCCACGTGCCCGACGTGTGGCCATTCTCCCCTGAAACACGAGGCTGCCCTCCAGCTGGCTTGGCCCTCAGCCTTCCAGTGGAGTGTGGCTAGGGCGTGCTCCATGTGGACGGCGTGCTGAGTGGGGTGAGGGGTGGCAGCCCCCGGTGCTCCGCCCGGCCTAGAGGCGATGAGGAGCCGGCACGGCGTGCCTGGCATTCAGCCTGGAGCGCCAAGGGACCGTGTGCTTCCCGTGAAGCAGGGCACAGGGTAGAAGTAAAATGTGACTAATACGGGACTGGACCAGGCCGCTACGGGCGGGCGACCCTGGAGTCCGGGGTGAAGTCTGGGAAGGACCCGTTCCCCAGTGGCTAGGCAGGAACCTCCGTTTTGCCCTAGACGACTAAGTTTGCAGGGAACCCCCAGTCCTGTGCCCGCCTCTCACACTGCTGGGAGCACGTTCTACCCGTAGGAAGCCAGCACCACTTGGTGGCACGCTGGTCAGCGGCAGGTCTGGAGGAAGCAGCCCGGCCCGCACCGGCGTGGCGCCCTGGCGAGTCGGCCTGCCTCCAGGCTGCTGGCACTGTCCTTGGCATCGTCAGGCGTTAGGAGTAGATGGTGATGACCTCCCGGCCACCGCCTCTGACCAGGAGCACCCTGTTCAGCCCCTCAGTCAGGACCTCAAGGAACTCCATATCTGCGAGCAGAGTTAAGGCCACACACCCTCGCCCAGCTGCATGGAGACACCGCTACTTATAACACAGCTTCGGTCCAAGTGGTCTGGGCATCAGAGAGAGAGACACATGGGGTTGGGAGTTGTGGGGGACCCCAGGAAGGGGAGGGCAGCAAGGACAGACACCAGCCCAAATCCTGTCAGCAGACCAGACAGAGCAGGCGCGAGGGACCCTGATGTGCGGCCCACACGGCCGCCTCGCCTCCGCTGCCTGGCCCTGTGAGACCCAGCAGGACACCCCCTCTGCCAAGGCCCGTGGAGCTGCCCTCAAGCCTGGGCCAGGCCCTCATGAAGGGCACCTCAGGACTGCCCTGGTGTGCACGGAGGAGGGGTCCCCACCCCAGCAACAGAACACAGGCTGCACCAGGCTGGGAACTGCCTGGCCCCTGGCCCCTCAACCCACCAACCACGGACAGGGAGGGGCTGAGCTCCTCCCGGAGCAGGGAGAGGGTGCACCAGACCCACCGCGCCATTGGGGAATTCTGTATGGCTGAGAATGGCGTGAGTCGTAAGTACTCAAGCAGTTCGTGGAGAGACAAGGCTCTCCTCCAGCCTGCCCTGCCGGACAGTCTGTGCCCTGCTCCCCGCCCCAGCACCCACCTCCTCCTCAAAGCCGCTTTCCCTCCTATGTCCACAGCACTTCCTCCTGCAGCCGGAGCGCTGACCACCAACACGAGTCAAGCTTGTCCAGGGCTGGTGCTCCATAGCCCAGGCCACACTTCCTGGCCTGCACCGGCTCCAGTGCAGGAAGGGACCCAATTCCCACAGCTCCTGGTCTGCTCCAGGATCCTGGTCTGCCAACTGCAGGGGCCAGGCTCCGCTCCTCCCATCCACACCTTCCCGGGCCTGGGGCGGAGGGTGAGGAGTAGAAACGACCCATAGCGCCTCACCCCCCTCAAGTCACCTGACCTCATGTGGACAGGAGGAACAAGCCCCGCCCAGCCCCCACATCCTAATGCAGAGGCGCCCAGCAGCACCCTACCACCAACCCCCTCCACCAGCAGCTCTGCACGAAGGATACAGTTCTCATCGCCCTGCCGGTTTTTGGGGGGCCCTGGCATGTTCAGCAGGACCAGCTGGGCATCCTGGGACTTGCTGAGTACGACCCCGTTGAGCCTCACAGCCGTGTGCATCCTCCGGACGTTGGACTGATCCCTGCGGGAGGGGTGGCGGCGGTGGGCGGGCGAGGCCTTGGGCCAGCCTGACCTGCCCACCATGCTCGCAAGCGTGAGAGAGGGCCAAGGTCGGACCAGCTTCTGGCCCCAGAAGAGGTCATTCCACCGAGAACCAGCTGAGGACAGCCGCCGAGGCCTAAGGCCTTCTGGAACTGAGCCTCTGACAACTGCACAGGAAAGCACATCCGCTAGACACACCTGCAAACTGGGCCTGCAGAGTGCAAGGCACCGTCAGCTAGACACACCTGCAAACAGCCTGCAGAGTGCAAGGCACCGTCAGCTAGACACACCTGCAAACTGAGCCTGCAGAGTGCAAGGCACCGTCAGCTAGACACACCTGCAAACTGAGCCTGCAGAGTGCAAGGCACCGTCAGCTAGACACACCTGCAAACAGCCTGCAGAGTGCAAGGCACCGTCAGCTAGACACACCTGCAAACTGAGCCTGCAGAGTGCAAGGCACCGTCAGCTAGACACACCTGCAAACTGAGCCTGCAGAGTGCAAGGCACCGTCAGCTAGACACACGTGCAAACTGGGCCTGCAGAGTGCAAGGCACCGTCAGCTAGACACACCTGCAAACTGAGCCTGCAGAGTGCAAGGCACCGTCAGCTTGACACACCTGCAAACTGAGCTTGCAGAGTGCAAGGCACCGTCAGCTAGACATACACAGCAAAGGGTACCTGCAGAGCTACAAAGTAGCTGTCAAAGGGTGGAAGCAGAGTGAGCCACAGCAGCCACAGGGCAAGGGGGTGTGGCATCACTTCCTGACCCTGGTGAAGCACTGTGTGAGCCTGCACACAGGTCTGTGTCTGGAGATTCAGGCCTGGAAAGGAGCTTGGAAGCTCTGCCTGGCCCTGGGGGTCAGAGACCTGGACCTGGTGTACATGCCTAAAGCCAGCTAAGTTCCCTCTGCTCCTATGCCTAGCAGCCTCGATGCTGCTGCACCTGACGGGAGCTGAGGGCCAGGTCTGCAGCCCGTGGAGCAGCGTCCCCGCTGCCCTACACTGTGCTCTGCAGCCCGGGGAGCAGCGTCCCCGCTGACCTACACTGTGCTCTGCAGCCCGGGGAGCAGCGTCCCCGCTGACCTACACTGTGCTCTGCAGCCCGGGGAGCAGCGTCCCCGCTGCCCTACACCGTGTGCTCTGCAGCCCGTGGAGCAGCGTCCCCGCTGACCTACACTGTGTGCTCTGGGCTTCCCAGTGTGCTGGGCGTCTGCCCCAACCACTTAAGTGAGGTAATGCTGAACACCTGCACTCACTGCACACAGAGCTCCGCCGCCCTGGGGGCAGAGGCCCAACCTCCTTGTGTATGGTTCCAGGTCTTCCAGCAGGTGGGCACACTCCGCCTCCCGGGAGCCAGGGAAATCCTATAAAACGTGCTCAGAAAGCCACTCTGGGATGTCTGCCGAGGGTGCTGGCTGCCTGACGCACCGGCACAGCCAGGCAGCCCAGCAAAACATGCCTGCAGGCTGAGGTCGGTCCTGCGATGGACTCTGCTAGCCGGCCAGTTCAACTACCTTATCTCAAACGCAGCTCTGAGTGGGTACTGCCTATGCCCCAAACACAGGGACAAGAGAAAGGCCCTGAGGTCACAGACTCATACCCTTCATCAACTTAAATAAAACAGCATGTAACTAACTGGCAATTACTAAGCAGAGACCAGGACAGTGAGTTCTGCTCTTTCGCTAGTTTAATTTGATGAAATCACAGTTGAGCCTCTACCCATGGCACCATCCAGGAATACAGAACCTGCTGGGCACCAGTGGCTCACGCCTGTAATCCTAGCTACTCAGAAGGCTGAGGTCTGAGGCTTGCAGTTCGAAGCCAGCCTGGGCAGGAAGGTCCATGAAAATCTTATCTCCAATAAACTTCCAAAAGTCTAAAGTGGAGCTGTGACTCAAGCATTAAGAGCGCTAGCCTTGAGCAAAAAAACCTCCGGGGCAGTGCCCAGGCTCCCCACCAAAAAAAAAAAAAAGACAGAGAGAAAAAGGAGGGGAGGGAGAGGGGCATCTAGAAAGGCCAAAGGTCCTGAGTGTGGTCAAACTGATGTGGTTCTAGAACTGCATGTAACCATACAGGTCTGTGGTAAGGAAAGCACAAAACCCCCAGGTCTGGATCTGGCTGCACTGAGGTTCCAAAAGCCACAGGAGGCTGCGTGACTCACTGCCCAGCAGCTCCACAGGCACCAGTAGGGACATTCCCCTGTGGACAGACATTTGCTAGACAAGCTGCTGGGGGCCACTCAAGACAGACCGAGACACACAGGGCAGGGAACACATGCATAACCACGAACACGGATGACCACACATGCATGTTATTGAGTACACGTGCATGCAGGGCACACAAGCATGCACACACAAGCACACGTGCACACCAGCCAGGATACACAAGTGTGAGGAAGCGCATGCACAGGCCCTGTGAGGAAGCGGCAGCACACTCACCAGCTAGCGTCTGGTCTCTGGCCTCCTGAGCTAGCGTCCGTCTGGTCTCTGGCCTCCTGAGCTAG